GGGGCCGGGGGCGGGCCTGGAGGCGCAGGGCACGCAGCGCACCCTGGAGCTGCTGCCCGAGGCCGAGGAGCAGGCCGAGTGCGCCGACAGCTTCCGCGCGCCCGCCCCCGCGCTCGCGCACGCCGCCCTGCGCGCCGCCGCCCTCGACGAGCCCAGCCCGTCCGTGGTGGCGCTGCGCGACGCCATCTTCCACAGCGACGAGCCCTTCCTGGCCGACCACCCGCGCTCGCTGAGCCCGTCCAGGGCGAGGTACTTAAGTGCAACGAGCATCGTCTGTGGCTGACGCCGACCCAACCCCAACCCCGCCCCTTCCTGGGGTTTTAGCTTCTGGCCAGAGGACTCTTGCTAGCGCTAGCGCCCCCGAGCATTTTCGCCTCCCCCTGCCGCCCTATAATTATCAACTGAATTGTTTAGAAAAAAATAACATTGTTCTATACTGTTTCTCATATCTCAATAACAATGTATTGAAGAAAAAGACCAAAACATTTGAAATAAAAGCTCTTGTGACATGAACGTTTTGAAAGAAATGTACTCGATTTAAAGCAGATACAGTTGCTTTTTGGTATTTGTAGCCGGAACGCTGCCATATTGTTCTGTGTGCGACAACATTGCGTCTCTAGATCAAATTTCGTCTTGCATGACTGTGCTTGGCTTGACGCTCAAAACTCGAGTTATGATGTCAACAGGAACTGGGCGGTCTGTGAGGGCAGTTACCGGAGTACCTGCCAGCTTTCCGAAGTTACAGGTAATTCCGAAATGCCTCAACTCGAATAGTTATTGCGTCAGTTACTGCGTCGGATAGTTACTAAAACTTGTTTCATGAGATCAACTTCTAACTCGCGCCCCAAGTGAGAAGGGTCTTAATTACAATTCGTGTAATTAAATAACAAAAATTTCTTCAGGCGCTGGCAGAAGTATCTAAATTGCACAGAATGAACAAATTGCATATTAACACTAGAATGTTTAAATACAGATTTCTCCATTTTATTATTTCAATTAATAAATAAAAAATGCTCAGATTCTGGGTACTGCAAAAAAAAATAGGTATTTTCTCAATGATACGGGTAATTTAGCCAGACAAGAATGAAATATAAAAATGATTTCTACACAGCGGAATATTAAAATAAAAATACTGATGACAGGGAAGAGATTCTGAACTTGCCATGCCTAAGCGTGTGGTATATTTCATCCTCTCTTTTCTGGTGTGCTATCCTTTCAGTCTCCGGAAAACGGGTGTGGATAAGGGAACTGTATGTTTGAAAATAATTTTAGTAGTTATAGAAAAAGTCAACAAATGTTTCCTAGGAATTTAATATTTCAAAAGAAATATCTTTGCGTTGATGAAAACAAAGCAATATAGTTACCATTTCTAGGCGTGTGGCACATATCGTTGTTTGAAGAAGCACATTTTTTTCGAATGAAAGATTTGACATCTAATCGAAATCCTAACATCAACGAAAACAATATTTACAGTAGTGCGATTGTGCAGAAAAAGTATTTAGGGCGATAAACAGCAAATAACCGAGTTCGTCATTTGTGTTATCGGTCGTGTGCCTTTTGTAATATTATCTTACTAGAAAAACAATAGAATTATGAAATAAAGTTAATAGTATTTCATAAAGTTTAGGCCTAGTCGTCCGCCACATTTAGATAAAATCGATTAGTTTCGATCGTCCTTTATGAATGGCGTGCTGTTAAATCCTTGTCAGACGACGGACGTTCACAGTGGTTTTTGATTCCTCTTTTTGGTAGCGTGAATTATTACGATTATGAATATTTAGTGCAGTATATAACAGTACAGAATTACGAAATAGTATAGTATTATACAACTCATTTATAATGTTACGCTTTATTGGATGAGTACATGTTTTGAAAACGACCGACGGTGGGCGTAATTTTTCAAATTTGTACTAAACGAGTTGAAAACGTTATTTTTTTTAAAAAAACATCACTATTTATAAGAGAATCAAAGTTAAGTTTTGGAAACAACTCGTGTTGGGTATTTCACGTAGTGTGAAAAAACAGTTGTCGGTTGATCGGTTTACCGCTACCAACCCATGATTCTCTCTCTGCTATTGGCTGAATTTGCGATGACGCAATTTTTCGTGCAATACGTCATCATGAGTTCTTTTGTTATTTCATGAACAATTTTTTGAAATGGAAAAAGTCGGTTATAAGGCTTGAAAAAAATAACGTATGCATTTCTTTTACAATGTTGCGTTATTGCATACGTACAGATTTAAAAACTAGCTCCTAACATCGCTATTTTAGAGCTCTTTCAGACAAGAAGCATAAATAATTCCATGCAGATTTCTCCTCTCCTGAAGTGATTCTGTTTTCAATCCTTCAAACACTGGCAATAAGTAACCCTCTACATTTATTTTCATGGACAACACAGGTGTCACTATCATCTCATAATTCACATTTCGAGGCGTAACAATCTTGTCTTACCTTACCTTGTCTCTATACTACTGAAAAGCTAAAGCCTGCACAAAATACACACGTTAATGGTGTCGCGTGTTCAGTAATGGCCTATACGCCAATAATAATAATAGTAATAATAATAATAATAATAATAATAATAATAATAATAGTAACAATAATAAGCTATGCTTGTTGCTATTGCCGTACCGTTGATACACACACTAAAGAAAAGAGAGTCCGAGAAAATTACGAAGAACAGATTGAAGATTTTGTAGAAACTATAAAGTGTAACAATATATCCACTCGCTATTCCGACTGAAGGTGTAGAAACAAACAATTACAGGAAAAATCTGGAAAAAAAGGGATTACCTCAAGAAATTCTATATTACAGACAGAAAGCAGTGATCCTGCACACATGCCATTTAGTTCGTAATATCTTGAACAAATGAGGCTCCCATATCGGTTTTTGGGAGTCACAGTGAAATCTCTCTACCCAGTGACCGAACTCTTTCATTAACATGGCAGGAATGGGCAAATTGAACCCAGCACAAGCTCTTGAAAAAAACAACGATAATGATGATTATAAATAATAAAAATAATAATTTTAATAATCGTAATAATAATTGTAATAATTATAATGATAATTGTAATAATCATATTAATAATAATGATTGAAATAATCATACTGATGATTGTAATAGTCATAATAATAATAATTGTAATAGTAATAATAATAATAATAATAATAATAATAATTATGTTAATAATGACGACGATGGTGATGATGATGATGGCGAGCTACGCGGCCCCGTACGCAGACGCGCAATGGGCGTGCGGCTGGCGTGCGACGGGGGCGGGGCCGTGCGCAGGGTGCGCGCGGCGGAGCGGCGGTCGCGGTCACGCGCGTCCACGGAGTCGGCGGCGGCGGCGGCGGCGGCGGCGCCGGCGGACGTGTACCACCTGAAGCGCGTCGCCTTCGGCAACCGCCGCGTGCCCATCGTCATGCAGAACGCCAACGGGCCCTGCCCGCTCATCGCCGTCGCCAACACGCTGCTGCTGCGCGGCCGCGTGCTCATCTCCGACATGGTGGTGGTGGTGAGCGCGGCGCAGCTCGTCGAGTACGTGTCGGACGCCGTGGCGGACACGGTGGCCAACGTGGTGGGCGAGGGCGACGCCAACAGCGACCGCGCGCTCGGTAAGCCACCATCTCGTACGAAATGTACACATGATAATAATAACGATACCGATAACAATAACAATAATAACAATAATAATAGCAATAATAACAATAACAATAATAATAATAATATTAATAATTAATAATTAATAATAATGATAACGGTTACGGCAACCGTCCTCGGCGCCGAGGAGGGTGCAGGTTCGAGTCCTGTGTAGACATGGTCGTATTTGTGATTGTCCCTTCACCCTTCACCATCATCCTATCATCTCATAATTCACCCTTCAAGTCGTATCAACCTTGTCATACTGAGGGATACAGCTGAAAAGCTGATCCTGAACAAATTACACGAGACAATCGTATAGCGTGCTCAGTAATGGCATATACGCCAATAATAATAATAATGATAGTTATAATGATAATAATAATAATAATAATAACAATAATATTAAGAATAATGATAATAACAATAATATTAATAATAATGATAATAATGATAATAATAATGTTAATAATAATGATAATAATTGAATAACTAGTCACTTATACAGATGTGTATAACATGAACATTTTATAATGATACCGTAGTTTTGTATGCACTCGTAAGGCGATATATTAGATGGTCTTTAGTTCTGGGTGTTCAACTTATATGTGAAATTATCCTTGCTTATCTAAACAATGTGGTGCAAATAATGCGAGCAGTTACAAACAATGCGAGAAAGTATATGCTTTTGTAGCAACACTAGCAAATTTGTTCTGTTTTTTATGCTACTCATCATCAATCATTTCACTGTTAAATAACCCAATTTGGAGGGTAGATCAAATTGAACTTTAATAGAGAGTGTAGAGAAACAAACTCCATGGGTGGCACTGACGAGTCTTCTTGTAAGTCAGCTGCCGTAGAGCTGGTTTAAGAGCTGTTTCTAGAACAAGAAGCGTAAACAATTTCATGCAGATTTCTTTTCTCTGAGGTGGTTCTGTTTTCCATCCTTGAAATGGTGGCAATACCAAACCCCCGGCATTTCTTTCTCATGTACAACACAGGTGTCACTATCAACACTCTCATCACAAATCAGCCACTCAGCCATTATGGGCTAACTGTGTAATACTGGCCATAAATCACACAAATAATAAAATAGGCCCCCAACACACTGAAGCTATAGCATTTTTGCCAAGAGCGTCAAAAGCTTATGGAATCATGATAGCAGTGATTGCAAGCTATCGATTCCCAGCGTACTACTTTTAAAAGCAACGATAAATGAAACTTAAGATATTGGATTTTTCAGAATTTTCAGAATTTTAGATTACCCGAGTCTTTCACAGTTTCAGTTGCCTCTCAGTGACTGCAGTAAAGTGTTGTTTTATGCATTTAAAATGTTTTATGTCTTTTGATTTTTAAAGTGTATATATTATTTTAGCAAACATTTTGTTCACAATAATTTGCCAAATAAACTACGGATTATCCGAGTTTTCGTATCTAAAGTAATCTTTGTCCCAATAATCTCTGACACTCGCGAGTTGACTGTATAAAATAAGATTTGATAGGATATGAAATACTGATTTTTTTGGGAATGTAGATGATAGATAAATTTTGGACAAAAATAAAATTACTTTCATGCATTAAAAATGTGAGAATATTTTTATAAGGTGTCATATGTAAAAGAAATACTCGTTTTAAATAGAATCCAGAACTTTTCAATCCTATAACTTTTAAAGATTTATTTCTTCAACATAAATTTATTGGACCTTTTTTGTGGAAAATTTCCTTAACTTAATTTTGTATAGTGTATAATTAGCAGTAGAATTTATGGTTAGGGATATATACAAAAACAAATAACACTCATTAATTTCCCCTCACTTCAGCATTTTTTGCGTGATGTGGGTCGAGTGATGAGTAACGTTTTGGTACCAAGGAACAATATTGCTAAATCTCAAAACTCCGGGATTTTTCACTCGATCAACGTTTTTGGTCTAATTTGACTGAGCAGCTATCGAAACGATGAAAATAATAAAAAAAATTCTGGCGTCTTTTTCATTTGAAATACTCCAATGTTAACATTACCCCGAACTCATCGCCGTAATATTAAGGCAACATACTAGTTTTAGAATACCAAAACACTGCACTATAACTTGTTTAAGTCCTACGTACCAACATTTTAAGTAAATAATAAATACTATCATTTTCATTAAAATCGGTACATTTTCAAACAAATACATTCACAGCTTCCTACTTTTCATGCAATCACAATTTTGAAGCTGCCGACAAATGATTTAATACGATCAAGACAGGAACGTAGACTTTCCACGTTTATTGAAATTTCAATAATGTTTGCGCAGGGTTGATTAACAGATTATACTTTCCCAAACAACTCAAGTAATACATTTAAAAACTGTACTATTTTCTCTTTAAATTCTTCCAATGTATTATTGTACTCATTCTCCTTTGATATTTCAATATAATCGCACAAGAGTCAGATGTGTGATGTGATTCAAGTAATTTCGGGCTGGCAAAGGTGGGTCAGAACATCAACAGATGTTAGTGCTGTACCTGTGACCGGCAGGACCTTGGTTTCGAGTCCCAGCGGTGGTAGGATTTTCGTCACCAGCTAGACAGCTGGGTCGAATTCAGATGCTGTTTGGAGGACAATTCTAGCTGCCGGCTGCACTGATCGGTAGTTTTCAGCGGTTTCTCCGACCAAAACCAGGCGAATGCCGAAGCAGTACCCCAATAAAACGGACCACGGATCTTGTGAGATCTTTCCTTCCTCCTCCTTGTCCTAACCTCACCCCTTACTTACACTTCCACGCCGCACACTACCACACATGACGAGAGACCGGTAGGGAGCTAAGAGCTTGTCCGAGCTGGAACAAGGCATCTTCAGTGGTGGTGATGGCTGAAGGTGGCCTTGGACAAGCGGTGTCCCGCTGGTGGGAAATACCTTGTGGAGGGAAAAACCCGCGTAGATTTCCGCGGTTTCTTCGATCAACACCAGGTGCATGCCGAAGCAGTACCCTAACAAACAAACAGGCCACGGACCGCGCGCGATATTTCCTTCCCCTTCCTTGTCCTATACTCAGCCCTTCCACTCACATGCACCACACTATCACACTTTTGGGGAGTCTAGAGCTTATCCCAGCTGGGGCGGTGCCCCGCTGGTGGGAGGTAGCTGTTTGGGGAAAGCCCGCGCAAACCAACGTAGATTGTCGCCGGATCTTGCCATCAAGCGAGGGAACATCACCGCCCCTTCCACAATGAAAACATGTACTATACCTATGGGATTAACGGCCTTAGCAGTTGGCATGCGCTACGAAATTGCTTGCTTCATTGAATCATTAATCAATCAAGTAATTTCGATTTCCTTATTTGTGGTAGGCTGAATGCAGTAACGTCTATTATTAATGTTTTGTAAAACAATCCGTTTCAAACTCACATTTAGATCATTTATCTCGAAATTGTGATCACTCCTTACAAATTCAAAACAAACGCATTCATATGGAGACCAACACAGGCAATAGATAATATGATTAAAAAAGGTTAACAGGCCTGTGTGTAACCTTTTTGGCAAACTCTTGAATAATTTAAAAATAGGATTGTTTGAACAATATGAAAACTAAGTTAAAATAGAATTTTTTATTCATCTCGTTCTCCTCTTCTTATTTGGCCTCCCCGAAACTTCAATGCTTTCTTCCTCTTTTTGAAACGTTAGAATCACAGACGTCTTGTCCTTGCTCTTCGTTTTTTGTTCTCTTGTTTTCAATTTGACAAGTTTATTCCTAATGTGAATTGTTAATCGAAATGTGAATGTCATTTTCGCTAATTTCATTTCGCTACGTCTCAATTGGAATATGTTTTCAGTTTAGCTGTCCCAATGTACCAGTTTTTGAGTGATTTTTCTCAATATCAGTTTGATATAATACATTTTACTTATAGAGAGTTAGTTTTAATGTCATATTATTGAATTATCCAATGCCAGCTACATATTACTGACCACAATGCTTGTCCAGTTGAAATAGGTCTTTGATTGAAGATATCGCGTAAAATAACGTAGTTTTACTTTTTATCTGTCGTATGGCGTGAATTTAAGGAGAAGGGCTTAATAATTCGTAATTTCGAAGTGAGAGATCAATATAGCTGACGATGGTATCTCCAGAACGACACTTAAGTTGAGAGGTTCATAGGTTATCATAGGTTCTATTGTAGATATGAAAACAATTTACAAAATGTGTGAGAAGGATATTTATTTTTTATGCGAGTAGGATGAGTAGGGTTTTTACAGAGGTTGAATGAAGATAAATTTTGGTTAAGGGAAATATACGAGAAGTTATGAGATAGACACGTAATGTAGTGAAAGATGGGATCGAAGTTCAATTCATTGTGTAACTGGTGATTTGACATGAACCAAGTTGCATTAGTGATAGTGCAAAGGAATTGGTTCTATAATAAGTGGATTTTGTTGATGTTTGTTTTTGTAGCATTAATCCATACTGGGCAGCCGTAGAGAAATATCTGTCGGAATATTGTTTTGTATAATATTTCTTCTGTGTTGTAAGGGATGTTTTCATTCCTATTAATTTGTGTTTTTAGTTGTTGGTCTCTTTTTCCTCACCACAAATTTCCACGAGCATCGGTCAGAGATCGAACTCAGCAATAACAATTGCAAAAATTACAAATGTTATGAAATGTACTGTTGAACCTAGAGTTCTGTTGTTTCCGAGTTTGTTTTATCTACCAACTATTTATGTCGCCAAAGAAAATCATAATTTCTTCTTATTAAAATGAGCGCAATCTAGCGTTTTTGTGTAAATGGGGGCTCAAACATAAAGTCTGTGGAAAAATATAGGTTACGAGGACTTAAGTCCAATAATGTTGGTATTGTGATGCGATAATGTTGCAAGATTGTGATTTGGCCTGGTACAAGCAGAGTTTCTCAAAGTTCGAGTTACAACTACGTCATATTTGTGTAGGTCTTGTGTGAACTTTGGAAACTCTGAGAATCAGAAGTAAGAATGAAACTGCAATGAAATGTTTTATTGCTTTGCCTTTGTCTTGCTTTCCCTAATCGCACGCCTAGGGGTTTCGTGTATATTCTCTCACATGCTGTCGACATCCAACGAGTCAGACCACAACGTTACAGGCTAACCAACCAATAATTCATTTAACCCGCAGTATTGTGAGTAATTTCTGACTATGTTTTTTTTATAAAACCAATGTTCATTCGGACTGTTATCCAGTTTACTTTTACTTTTCTAAAAAATTCTACAATCTATACCGTTGTTGTTCGAAGGTATAGATGGATATTTACTGTTGTTGTAGGGTGAAGGGTACGGCGGGAGACAATGTTAATTCCAACACTGAGTGTTTTGAGGCAAAGCACTTTTAAAGTTTGGGAAAATCTGTAAATCATTTTTTCATCTGTTTTAATTTTTGATTAATTTTTTATTTCACTGACAACAATGACGACACATTTTATTAATTTAAACTTTTCTCTTTCGTTCTTAAAAGTAATATTTATTTATGAAAATAACTTTTTGTGAGTAGCATTCTGTTTCCCCAAAAATATTAATCTTCATTTCCAAATACATTTTTATATTACATTATCTACGAGTGTAATATTTTTTACATAAATTTTGTAAAACTAAACAATTTCCCGGGTGTTATCTTCAATACTTTCTTCTTCGTCTACAACAAAAGCTTTTTTGTAACAACCGTGATGTATTGATGGCATAAATGGAAGGAAGTTTTATCTTACGACGAAGACCTTCTGGTGTAGGGGTGGGGTGAACGCCCATTCACTTTTTCTACCAGGTTGCGTGTCATCCTCCAAAAAGGAACGGCTTTTCTTGTTTGGGGTCAATAAAATGCTAACCTTTGGAGAATTGAAACCAAGCCTTTTCAAATTTTATCGTTATTTTAATTGAAAATAATAATTTAATAGTTGTTAAAAGAAAATCACGATTTGGTGCAAATTACACTAAAATGCGTTTGGGAAATGTCCAGTAAATTTATAAATTAATTAAATGCTAACGCATCCAACTTTGAGGTTTAACTAGAGCCAACATAATGCTAACCCATACTTACAGAGTTTTCATTATCCGATGAATTAACTGGTAGATAGGTTCTTTTTATTCATTCGTGGCCTTTAATGTGTTTTGTAGAGTTTAATGCATCTGAAAGTCTTTGACACTATTTGTTTTCACAGCTACAATACAATGTTACTTTACCATTAAAACGCAAAACATCGCTATCGAAGAATTTTCTCTATACTACGTATGTTACTCTGTTTATACGTATGTACAGGGGGAAGTAAAAGTGTATTAATAGGTTTTTACGGTGTTCAAATTATATTTCACAATTATTGAACATGAACCTCCTTTAGCTGGTTGATTCATCGAATGTCCTTCAGGAAAAAAAGGAATATAAAAGTTTCATTCTCTGACATTTTTAACCATTATATCTTCTATGACGTGGAACGTCATCCTTGCCAACTTGGGATTTATTTCCTTCTTTGACGCCAATAAAATTTCTTAATAATGTACGATGTCCATAAAACATTTCTTATGGAATTTATTGCAAAACTGATAGATTGCGATAGCTTCGCGCGACGCTGCAATGTTTAAGTCCGTTGTAGAACCAAAGCTGAAACAAAACACGCCAAAATTCAGATACTTACATTCTATAGAAAAATCATTGCATAAGCATATATTTACAAAGACGTAGACTAATGTACTTTTGCTAACTTGTTGCTGAGAAACATTATAGCAAAGCAGAAAACAATATTTTGTCTACATTACGTAAGTAGAACAGGGTGAAGTAATACTGCTGAGCCTGTAATAAATATGAGCCGGACACAACGCATGCTACTATCAATCGTTCTCGCTGGCTTTCTTTCGCTGTCACGGAGGCGCGCGTGCCTCCTATCTGCCTGTGAAGGTTTCTGCCAAGGTCCGGAACTGTCAGCAACCCCCATTCTCGACAGTTTTCAACAGTATGAGCTGCATCGGCACAGAGTGTTGTGAGCAGTTTGTTGGTAGTTTCTGTGTGTTTGCCTTCTGTTTAAGCACAAAGGGCTCTCTTACAAAAGAAAAATTAATTTAATACGGAATTTTAATAAACAACAGCAACGTAGTTGTTGTTACAACAGCACATACTTTCTAACGTTATTTGGAATGGACACTAAAATGTACGCGAAAAATTTTCACCACATAATGAAAAGATTAATTTTGAAGAAAATATATTATTAATAAAAATCTCTGGCTGCAATATAAAAATTGTAAAAAGGCGGGGAAACTTTTTATACGTTTGCAATTCTTGAAAATTCAGAGAGTTTAAGAAAAAAGAGAGAAAATTTCTCTGAAAAACAGTAATCCAAAAATGTGAAGCCATTTTTAAGAAGTTGGAAGTGTTGAGGATTTCTTTTGTAAAGTGCCCACAAACAAATCAAAATATCTGTTTCATAGTCACAGGGCCTCGAATTCGGCCGATGGATCGGGAAATATAAGTTTTGGAGAAAATGATCTGATCGGTTAGGCGCTGGTGTTGTGCACAAACGGACAGACGTTTTGTCGCAAACCAATTGTTTGGTGTTCCAAAAACCTTGGATTCTCATGAATCAGGGCAAGCTATTTACTACATTCGAATATTACACAAGAATTACGTTCTTGTTTGGTGTCAGGAATTCACAAAACGAGTTTTTCTGGCCTCTTTCCTCTCCAGCTTTATAGAACGTTTTCTTTACTACGTAAGTAGCAGGCGAGATAATAAAAATGAAGTCAAAGTTTTCATTGACAATGGGAATCAGATACCACATGTTATTTATTTCTTTATTTAACGTCAAAAAACGTTAAGATCCATATGACGTATCATAGGGAAATGTGCGCAATCTAGACACGTGCTTAGTAAATAATTAGTTAAGGAGAAAGCGTTAGTGTAAGGTTTCTGTTTATAACAAATATAGCAAATGTGATAAAATAGGATTACAACGTGCCATGCACAATCGAATTTTTATTCTGATTTCGTTGAAGGGCGTGCTACAAAGCTCTACTATTTTGCACTTTAGTTCAGTTACCTTCTCCAATTATAGTGGAATAAATAATGCATTTATTATGTTTAAAAGAAGCTATTTACTAGTAGACCGTGTCGATAGATTCGTTGACGTTTCTATTCGTTATCCATCGCTGCCTTTTCGTCTGGCGAGCCGAGGTTACACCGCGATAAACGTCTTGTTTTGGTATATTTCTTTCTGAATTCTGGCAAGACCGGAACACATATTTTTGCCGCGCTGGCCTTGTTTTGTTCGCAAGGAGCGTAATGTTTGCGATAATCTAGCTAAAGTGAAACTTGCTGAAATGGCCATCAGGAATAAGCAGTCACCTCCATAATGGCCATTTTGCGTGATATCGATTGCTGTTTACTTTCTCGTCTTACTACATAAGTAGAAAGAAAGTATTGCTTTCGTGCGGTAGAAATCGGCAATTTCTCGTTATAAACCTCTTGCCAGTCTTTTTTTATCGGTCACATGTGACTTTAACACCTGCTAATAAGCAACCCTACAGGTTTGTTAAGTGCACCTGTTTGTTAAGAAATTTAAAATCCTTAGCGATGGGTTTTAACATCCGTAGTAACGTAAATAAAAAAACCTTCAATTCATAGCAAGTCAAATGTGTATTTAAGAAAGAACATGACGATGTAGAAAAGTCATATTCAAACACTTCAGAATAAAAGTAACGCATTTGTTTTAGCGATTATTATTGCTCATTGTTCCGTAGTAGAATTTAAAAATGTATTTTAGGTAAATTAACCTTACTTTCCTATCATTCCAGCAAATGAAACTTTTCTCCGGTAATCATATTTACTTATTATCTGCAGATGTTGCCACTGGATGTCAACGCACCAACTTTCTCACCGAAAGTCATTTCTTTAGGTATCTTTAGATTCAGAACAATTAATTACATGCATCTTTTGTTGAACTGCGGTATACGAATATTGTTTAAATAGATATATCTCAAAGAACTCCACAATATCGTAGTAACAAGCCGCAGCAACAGTATTAATATTTTTATTGTCGAAGTAATGTAAATTTTTGAATAAAGCGTGAAATTTTATGGAGATCGATAAACTGATGAACATACCACGAAATAATACAATGTTATTACTGCCTCGTCCAAATTAAAAATCTCGGCTTCGCTATTCTCCACAACGATTTTTAACTTTTGACCTCTGCAATAATAATACTCATAACATTTCTAGGCATGTTACTAGCTTTTACAACGTAAATAGTTATTAAAGCGAGAAAATAAAAATTTAAACCTCGAGTTTCCCATTCATTTTATCTTAATCTCGATTTCGCGAACCGGCAAAGGTGGCTCAGGGCATCAACTGATATCATTGCAGTGCCTCTGACCGGTAGGGATTTGAGTCTGAAAGGCAGGATTTTCCACACTAGCTACAGAGCTAGGTCGAATTCAACCGCAGTCCGGAGGCGAATTCCGCATCCGGCTGCTGTGATCGGTAGTTATCCGTGGTTTCTTCGATCAACATCAGGAGAATGCCGGAGCAGTACCCTAACAAACGTGCCACAGACCGCACGCGATCTTTCCTTTATCTTCCTTGTGCGTGATTTGGGCTGTCCGGGTGACACCGCGTCGAAGGCTCTGTTGCCGACGTTTCAGCCATCTTGTCGTGGTCTTCCTCAGAGCTGCTATGCCGGACAGCCCAGATCATGCACATGACTCTGGCCGCGAAAGCCTACGACTTCTTTCTTTTCCTTGTCGTATCCTCACCCCTTACTTACACTTCACGCATTATACTATCACACTAGACGGGGGCTAAGAGCTTGTCTCTCCTGGAGCGGTGCCACGGTGTTGGGAGATACCTTCTTCAGGGCAAATGCCCGTAGTCGTGCGCCGGCTCCCGTTTGCGAGCGTGTGCGCGAGGCAGGTGTTCGCACGTGCGCAGACGCGCGGGCGAACGCGGTGCAGAACGCGCACGACGCCATCGCCGTGCTGCCCGAGCTGCAGCACGGGCTGGACGTGAACGTGCGCTTCGGCGGCGTGAGCGACTTCGAGCCGACGCGCGAGTGCGCCGTGTTCGACGTGCTGCGCATCCCGCTGTACCACGGCTGGCTGGTGGACCCGCAGTGCGAGGCGGCGGCGCGCGCCGTGGGGCGCATGGGCTACAACGAGCTCGTCGAGCACATCCTCGCCAACAAGGTGCGTGTTTGCTACGGCTACGGCTATTCAGGCGCGGGTTCGAATCCCGCCCCGGGCCTGGATAGCTGAGGTCTCTAGAACTTGAGAGTCGGGGCTGCCTCTGCTCGAAGGGTCGCGAGTTTGATTCCCTCCTCAAGCCTTTATGGCCGGCCTGGGTAGCTGAGATCTTTACGACTTGAGGGCCGTGGCTGCCTCGGCTCGAAGGATCACGGGTTCGATTCCCGCCCCGGGTATGCACGGCAGGCCTGGGTAACTAAGGTCACTAAAACTGGAGGAATATGGCTGCCTCGGCTCGAAGAGTAGCGGGTTCGAATCCCACCCCGAGCGTGGATGTTTGTCTGTGTTCATGTTGTCCTTATGTGTTCCCCTCGGTTGAAAAATCAGAGTTTTAAATTTCTGTTAACTGTACCATTACAGGCATGTCAAGAGTAAGTATCAGCCAAGTTACCCCAGTGTTAAATTCTACAGTGATCTCTATATGATCAAACACTTAAAAATCGACCTTAAATAAAATTTAAAAAATTATAATAAAAAGGTGTCTTACGCGCGCCGTTGCTAACACTACGGAAAAAATCATTTGATAAAGGGAAGTAGGCAAATCGGATGTTTTTTGTTATGAGGTTAAAGTCTATTACCCACGAACGGTGGTAGCGGTAGCGTGTTCGAATCCCGGTAGAAAGTCGTAAATTTGCTTGTTATGTTCAACATCGGCGGGTTGGTGCCTCATGCGGAAAATGGAATGGGTAGCCCAAATGCTCTGATCGGTGGTATCCTGGATCGCTTCCGGGCGAATACCCGTGCAGCTGCCGTAACATGCTGGCTGCAGGTCTTCCTTCCTTTCCTGGCTGCGAATCCCATCCTTAGTGCCGAACGAAGGGGCAATTAATATCAGAATCTCGCGTCATCACAGACATCCGCAAGACAGCTTCAATGTTGTGAATTTGCGAAGGCACTGAGGAAAGAGGAGGAAAAACAGGAGTATGTTACTGAAATCACTTCAACAATACGATCTAAATTTTTTCTGTTGAAAAATCAGAGTTTAGCATTCTTCTAACATTACAGACACACCAAGAGTAAGTAAGTCACCAACTAAGTAAATTTAAAACACTTTTATTCGATTTACATGTCCAGTTCTGTGTGTGCCGTGAATAGTACGTGTATTGTTCCAAAACTTCATTTTATTAGCCTTCAAGACTTAATAATGAAGGCCGTGAAATAATGTTTTTGCGGGTTTTCTATTTTTGTGTAGTGAATATGTGCAAACTCTGTAACGTTTCTGCAGCCACATCACACGCATTTTTCATTTTTGGCGTGTTTCTTTACTCTCAAAATTTTAAGTTCCTTACTTTCCAAGACATTTTTCAACAATATTGATTCTTGTAGCTGGGATGTTTTCTGCATAAATTCATGTAATTGTAGATTATTAAATTATGCCATGAACTATTTCTTTTAAAATATCAGAGTAATTTTTGGGTAATAACATCAGGAGGAAAAGTTGCGATGTGCCGCATTCCTCTACTTTAATTTTTCCCTTGAGCACTTCTTTCCGCGCCACGGCATAATGTTGAACCTCGCTTATTCTATTCTGACATTTGCAATTGTACAACACAAATAAAATAAAATATTACTTATCGCGTTAAAGATATTTTATCTATTTTTTTTATCTTAAGTCAAACTTAACCATTGAAATCAGTTTCCTAACACATAATATCAGTTGTAATAATGTGTGGGCTACTATTTATTATCTATTATTGCTACACCTGGCACTGCTTCGCTATTGCAATGTATTACACTTGACATGTTACACATGGTTGTTAATCACGTTTTACTCTACACTGTGCACAAATTTCAATGGACGAAAGGCTTTCTCACGAGTGTGCTTCCATCTCTCCGTGTCTTTCCGTCTCTCTCTGCTTCTCTCTCTTTCTCTGAGTATCTAGTTCTGTTTGTTTCTCTCTCTGCGTAGCTGTCTTTCTCTCTATCTCTATCTCACTCCTCTCTCTCTTCTCTCCTCTCTCCTCTCTTTTCTTTTTCTCTCCTTTCTCTCCTCTCTCCTAACTCTCACTCCTCTCTCTCTCCTCTCTCTCCTCTCTCTCCTCTCTCTCCTCTCTCTCCTCTCTTCTCTCTCTCCTGTCTCTCCTCTCTCTTCTCTCTCCTCTCTCCTCTCTCTCCTCTCTTCTCTCTCTCCTCTCTCTCCTCTCTCTCCTCTCTCTCTCCTCTCCGGGAGAGATTTCACAATCTCAGGCACAGAAAACGCAATGAAGACGTCTTGATAATAAATTTATACCAAATGCAATCTATCCCGAATAAATGAATATATCTATAATATTTTTTCGTAGCGTATTAAAATAGCCTGTCATTTTGGTTTGATAATTTTCCTAACTCGTATTGTTTCTTTATGGTTCTTATCTCATAAGGATTCATAAGGGTTCAATTACATTTATTATAATCAATAAGGATTCTTTACGATTCGTATTTCATAAATTATCATTATCAAACAATATGACGGCTATTCTATTCATTACTTAGTGATCGAATATATATTGACAGTTTTATAGTAGTGAGAAATACAAATATGTCATTTTTTGCAAGTATATACAGTACAAATTTCTTGTGAAATAATTTTTGAATTTTCTCATAATTGAAACTTTTTTATTGAAATACACTATTTTAAAAAAAACAAAACATTTTTGGCCATGGAGGTCTTCAATATTGCAGTTTTGAGTGGTAAAAAAATTTCAATTTTTCGAAAATACAAAACTTTTGCCGTAAATGAAACTCACATTGATTTATCTCGCACCCTTTGGTACGTAAGAAGAGAAAATGTAATGAAAACATTAGAAGCTGCTTTTGAGAAAAAATGTTTTAAAAACATTAAAGATTCCCGATATTTATCGCAAAAGTACATGAAAAACTATTTTCGAGACATTGAAGATAGCTTATTTCAAGATCGGTCTTTAAAGAACACATTTCACTAAGGGTGAAATCTATATCGGTTGTTTTGTAGTCGCTAGTCACCAAAAAAATTAAATTTGCAATTTTTGAAATATTATAACGTATTTTAATGAAAATCAGAGCTGTGCCATTCTCGCGTCCTTTACGATATCCGAGAATACGTTTAATACAAAAATGTGGAGCCATTTTTGAGACTATTTTGAAAATGCTTCATAAAACGTACCCCTCCCAAATCAAAATATCAGTTTCAAACTTAAAGGTCATAAAGTTCATTTAAATCGTTCGGAGAATATCAATTTTGGAGAAAACCGACTGAACGAGTTAGCCCTGGCTTTGACCGCAGATAGACTGACAGATAGACGAATAGAGAGAACTTTGCCGCCAATCAATTTTTTAGTAAGTATTTACAAAACATGAATTCTGGCGACACGACGTGTTAGTGCAAGTAATTTAGTATTTAGAGGAACAAGATTTATTCACTTTTTCGTTACCAGGGCAATAAGCGTATTTATGTCAAAAATTCGCTATTTTTCCCGATTACAATACATTCTCATCACAGAGTAGGTTCGAGAAAGAATAAGTAGACATTCCATATACAATAGAGATGGGTAGCAATCCTACATTTACGACAAGTCCTGCATGACTATGTCACCCTCCGCTGGTCAAACATAAATTTAACACTGTGTATAATGCTCTAGTGCTCTGGTTCATCTAGCTCCTGAGTGCTAGATGTCAGCTATATCGACAATAGCACTCAGGAGCGCCAAAACTTGCTTATATGTTTCATTTAAAATGTATCCTTAATTCACTGTTTCATAACTCGTTCACTCCACTAGAGAACACTGACAACCTTTGAAAATGGGACATGTTACTTAAAATTAAACACTGGGGGTGAAAGGATTAAGTAGTTTCTTATGTTTTTATTTACTATAAAGTACTACAATGTGGCGTCTCCGACGTTGTAAACTGTTTTGAAAATAGCTGCATGTGTTGAAAATGTTTTTCGTGCCAAGCTTTGTTCAAATACGGTATTTCTATATCAGACATTGAACTTACCAATGAATCGTAGTAGCTGATAGTCATACTCCCGTTCAAATGTTCCCACACCAACTGACATTGTGTGTCACCTCCATACGGGATATGAACTGGTCATATTGAAATTTCAAAATTACAATCGCAGCTATAAATACTTTCATATTGTGATGATAATAGTTGAATTTTAGTACAGCTTCATTTTGAAGCTTTTTTTGCTAATATGCACATGGCGTATTTGTATTAGCACAATCGCTAAATGTACAAATGCAGATCATTCACAACTAGTTGCCAAAATTCTGTCACATAATCTTTTACAACTACAGTTGATTATTTCCCGGATTGTCTTAAACTCAAAATAATTTCTCCCCTTAATTATTGAAGAGATTGAAACTTCACAAACTAATTTGTTTTTCATTCATTCTCTAGCATTACTCACAGTTTTGTTTTCTATGCAATCATGTGAAATTCGTCAAGTTTTATACGTTTCGAGGCAATACTTTTCGTAGATTTTCGCATATTTGTTTTTTAAAATACGTTAATTGGAATCTAAATTGAAATCAATCTGCAGTGCAATTTACTGTAGTGCAATTTACAACAATTCAATTGAATTGTTCATTTAAAAATGTCTGCATCAATGTTGCCAACGTCGTGAAAGAAAATTATGGCGTATTTTGCTAAAAATTTCTTTGAGTACTCGTTTCTATTCAATGCTACTTCAATACAAGTAGCTCGATTTAGGAGGTATTTTTTAATTCTTGTCATTATCACTAAGATCGCAGCCCCAAAACACGAAAAACATTTTTGAAAATTTATTTAAATCTTCTAGCCGAATCTAAAAACAAATTATCAGTTCTCCATCAGGTGACACCTCTTTCGTCTCGGTTGGTGCACAGGAAGTAGTCTAGTGACGGAATCGCACACATCCGCACACTCAAGAGTTTTACTCGTATACTGTATACTAATACAATGCGAAGGTTTCATAATATATTGGTACTAATTACAATAAGTTT